GCCCCCGCCGGGAGGAGGAGGAGGGGGCCCGGGGACCCCCCCACCCCGCCCGGAGCAGCCGCCGGGGCCGGGGCGCCCTCCCACAGCCCGACACCGCCAGGGACCGTCCCTCTCGAGTAGCCGCCAGAGCCGGGGCGGGAGCAGCCGCCGCCGACCCCGCCAGTGGCGAGAGGAGGGGCCCGAGGGCCACCCCCGCGTGAGGAGAAGGGGCCCGGACAGCCACCGGCGGGGCGCGATCCCCCTGGGCACAGGGGCGGCTTTGAGGTGAGCGCCGAGGGGTCGGGCGGTGTGACAGTCCCGCCGGGCGCCGCGGGGGGCGGGTCACTCTTTTCCCTTCTCGCTCTCCGTATGGGGCGGGGACTCGCGCCGGTGGCCCGCGCGCTTCGGGCGCCACCGGGGGAGGGGAGCGAGAGCAGCCTCCCATGTTGCGTCTCCCCGGGGGTTCCCTACAGCGGACCCCCGCGTGCGCTGGACACAGGCAGCCCCCCTCCCCGGGTGCAGAACGTACAGGGAGCCCCCTCCCCCGGCGAGCATAGCGCACAAGTAGCCACCTCCACCCTCCGTCCCGGTCGGGTCTTCCTGGGCTCTGGTTTAGTGGAGATGAGCTTCCCGAGCCCTTTCCTTCCCTTCGGATCGCTCGCATTGCACATGTAGCCGCCCCCTTGCCCAGGGAGTCGGTGCAGCGGACATGGGCCCGCCTCCCTTTCCGCGTCAAACTCCCTTCCCCTAAGAACTGAGTGCGTGGAGTGTATATGCCGTACTTCGAGAGCCCGCGGGCTGCATCGCACTCAGCCCACCCCTATCGTTCCCTTACCGGAGTTCATCCCCCGGTACCGAGTGCATTGCACACGGGCCCCGCCCCCGTCCCTGGGACACCCCCTTCCTTTCGGTACTGGATGCGTTCCACGCAGGCTCCTCCCTCTCCCCTTCTGCTCTCACCCCGGTGCTGGGAGGGTGGCACCCAGCCTCCTCCCCCGCGCCTGTCCGTCAATGCTGGCATTGCACACAGGCTCCGCCTCTGGGGACGCCGCCTTCCCCGTAGACCGCACACAGTTAGCTCCTCCCACTCCCCTTCTCCGTTCGTGCCGGTCCTGGGTGGATTGTACACAGCCTCCTCCCCTGTACTCTTCGCTTATGGGGGCGTTGCATTTCGGCTCCTACCCCGCTCCGATCCCTTACCGGAGACTCGCGGTCAGCGGGTCCATTACATACAGCACCCTTATTGGGAACCCACTCCTTATGGTCAGTCAGTCTCAGCTAGTTGCACGGAGCAGTATTGACCCATGCAGCGGTTGCGCTCGTCTAGCGGTTCGCCTCGGTTGTATCCCACACACTCCGGGGTAGCCGACTGGATTTGATTCCTGCAGCGAGGCAGCGGTGTTCGGAGGTCTCCTTCCTTAGCTCTTAGCAGGATGGGTAACTGGACGCTAAGCACTAGGTAACTGGCTGACGGAAGTAAGCTCGGTCAGCAAAGGCCAATGACTTGGGACAGCCCGTCTTCCACGTGCCCGTGATGTGTGCCTGGAGGGTGCCCAAAGCACATCCATACCTCCAGCCGAGTTAGAGCTGTGTTGTCCACTGGGGCTCCTGCAGGCTCACTCGGGTTATTTAAGGGCATCGGGGTGAAGTCGGGGCAGGGGTGTGTAGAGGGTTGTTTTGCATTTTTGAGAGAGAGGCGAAAGACTGTCCAGTGGTCCTTTATACTGCAAAATACCCGATCACGGGGGAGGGGCAACCAGTCACCTCGCATAGTATAGTATGGCTGGAGCTTCTGCATTAATCATCAGCCTCTTGTGCCTGTGTAGTCTGTCCTCAAATGCTCCATGCATGTGCAGAGCCAGCTAGGAGATAATCAGGCAGAGTGAGCATGCTGAACTGCAGAAGATGGGCATAGTTACTACAGAGTATTCCTGGGTTGTTGTAAAATATCCAGTGTGTAATACTTCAGTTTGGAGAATTTAAATCTCTTGTTAATGATGTACATTTCTATGGTAATCAGAAACCTCAGGTTTTTACAGATTAAAAAAAATACAGGCTGCCTTTTAGTACTTTACTCTCACTTGATTCCTCATTGTACACTGCATATTGTTTACAAATGCTAAGGAACAGGGAGCTAAACAAAACATGTTTGAGGTGTGGAAATAAACTGAACTGAGTTGTGTTAGTGAGGATGAGCAGCTGAAAATGATGACATCAATGGGGGTTTCTGCAGATTTTTCATAGAACTTAACTAAAATCTTCAGATTTCTTCCTTCAGCCCACCTTGTTCATCACCATATTAATAGTATAAAGTAGGGGTAGTCAATTATTTTTTTGTCAAGGTCCAGACTCTAGAGAAGAAAATAATAATAAAAAAAAAGTAAATAAAAAGATTTTGGGATCTGTTCAAAAGTGCCTGGTGGTCTGGATTTGTCCTGCAGTCCAGCAGTCCACCTATTGATTACCCCTAGTGTACAGTAACTGTTTCGAGTATTTCCTATAGAAGATATTATTTTAAAATCTAAAAACAATATTTTACATTGCCACAGTTCCTAACAATAAATATACCTGATTAGGTGCCTCTGTGTCTTATTCTGCTGCTCCTTTTTGATTTTAGACACAGCATCACTTATGAGTAACTGGCCTATTCTGCTTTCACTCTTTATACCCAGTCTGAAGGGACACGTAGATTTATTAGAATTTCCAGATTGCTTTTGAAAGAACTCCTATCGAATGACTGTTGCAGTTTCTAGCTAGAAATACTGCAAAGCTACACATAAGAATCCTGTGCAGAATTAACAGAGGCATGTAGGAGTCTGAGAATTACTCTTATAGTATTCTGCTACTAGCATTAATTTTTTAAATATTTTAATCAAGAACTGGCATCCTTCTCTACATGTACACTCTTCAGTCTTTAAACTTATCAGTGGCCTTCACTGAGTGTTTTAGTTTCAATATCTTTGGTTTTTTTACCCCTTTGCTTACTTACATCAATAGAAACTGCATTAGGGTTTTACCTGGGGTTGTCGGTAACTGGGAATGGTATTCTCATAAACTGTGGAAGCATTAATATATTTTGTATTTGTCTTGTCAAATGCCAGATTCCTTCCTTGAATCTGGGCCAATGAAACACAGACTACAGAGTGTTTTTTTTTTAATAGTATTGCCTATATAGATGTGACATCAGTACATGCACCAATATAAACTGGTATCTGCTTAAGATACGTCTGCTGTATCAGAGCAAGATATATTTTATTTGGACCACTGAAACTGTGTGTAAAACTGACAAATATTTGTTTAAATTGAAGCTGCTTGAGTGACCAATAGTGCCATGAGGAATGCGTGAGCTTTTTGATTACCAGCTTTTTCTGAAAAACTGCAATCCAGAACTAATGTTTAGTCTAAGTATATTAGATGAGTGGGATTTATTTCATAGAGCTGTGTTAGGCACAGTACCAACTGGAAGAGGTCAAAAATTATTTAATATAAATATAGGCTTACCTGTATTTAAATACAATTTTCAGCTATGGCTTGTTTAGTGTCTGCTATAAGTGAACAAACTTATTTAAAAGAACACTTTGTACAGTGAAGCTCCTTTTGAATTAATATCTAGTTAAAGAATAGATGTCTAAGGTGGCCTTGTGGTGATGGTCTGTACTGCTGTGCCTGCGGCCCAGGACAGGTTTGATTTGGGGACTCTTCTTCTCTGTGCCAATTGCTTGAGCCAGTGATATGCATCAAGTATGCCCCTCAGCTCCTCACCCCAGTCTTGCAGTATGTTCTGGGTTCATGCCCCCAGCCTGCATGTCCTCAGCTCCCCATCCAGAGGGCAGGGTTTCCCCAGATGCCTGCTCACATGGAGGAGGGACCCAGGGGGACAGAGAGAATCTGAGTCTTTCAGAGTGAAGAGGCCTCCCCAGATGCTGGTTTCTATGAGGGGCAGGGAGAGGAGCCCAGGTCCCCCTAGAGGGGCAGATGCCCCCAGATCCTGGCATACAAATACCAGGTGAGAATGTGGAGCTGACAGGCTCACTACCCACCCACCTGAATATCATCAGTATTGAGAGATGGAGACCATTTGGGCCACAATCAGAGCCACAGTTTGATTCCCTAGGTCTGCTCAAAAAAAGTTGGTAGAATCTGTCAACCTTAAGAAATGCTTCTTCCTCTCCACCCCCAGGGTTCTATATCTTGAGAACTTCTTGCTTGGATGACCCCAAATTTGGATCACTAACACTACCCTGCATCCCCTTGAGGCATACTAAATTTCAAAACAATATGAGTAAGCATGTGGATTTTAGAGCATTTGAAGTCCGCAAAAATGAGTTTTCAGCCTTAACTATAGCAGAGCTGTTTTTCTGCAATAATAAGGGCTGCAGTATGGAGGGGGAAAAGGTGTGTGGTTAGAAAATGATTGTATCCTCAAGAGTGTGATTGGGATTCAGTGGACTCTGTGTGCAAGGGTTTAAAGAAACTTTCAATACACTAAAAGGTAAAGTGTAAAAGAAAACTGATGCAGTAAAATAGAAAACTATTAAATAATACTCTATTAATGGAAATGTTTTAGGAAATGAGTACTACCTTAAATCAGTGTCTAGTAATAAGATTTTAGTGTAACAAGATGCCCAAAAAATCACCTCTGCTTGAACTGAGGAATTGTCTGAAACTTGAAGTGGTATATAGGTAAAAAAAATAAAATAAATAAATACATGGAGATATCCGGTCTCCTAGAACAGGAAGGGACCTTGAAAGATTATCAAGTCCAGGCCCTGCCTTCACTAGCAGGACCAAATACTGATTTTGCCCCAGATCCCTAAGTGGCCCCCTCAAGGATTGAACTCTCAACCCTGGGTTTAGCAGGCCAATGCTCAAACCACTGAGCTATCCCTCCCCCATTAGCTGCGGCCCATCTCAATGCACATCTGTGAATTCCAGATGTCCTCAGCAAGGATGATGGCACTTCAGACTCCATCTTAGCTTTCACACAGCAGGCTTTAGGATAAAGTGGCACTGGTAAGTTGGGTTTGTTTTTTTGTTTTTGTTTTTTTCCCCTTCTACCATGGGTGACTTTAATTGGCCCTTTTGTGAGCAGTGTTGTTGGTCTCGTGGTTAAGGCACTGGATTGGATCTCAGGAGATTGCAGTTCAATTCCTGGCCCTGCCACAGACCTCCCGTGTGACCTTGGGCAAGTCACTTAATCGTTCTCAATTTTCAATACAAATGGGGATAAATACACCACTACCTCGATATAACGTGACCCAATATAACACAAATTCGGATATAAC